ATTTCTTCAGAATTTATGGCTTGGCCGTCTCTGTTGAGGCGGAAAGACCGGGCGGGATGCGGGGGCCGCGCGACCAAATTGCCTCCGAAGCTATTTTCCGCGTCATTTATCTCTCTTTGGCTGTTTGCGCGGCTCTCGGGACGGAGGATCAAAACCTTTCAGAATTTATAGAGTGGCCGTAGTTGTCCACGGGGAAGTATGAGTCGTATGAGCTCCCTCGAGCCGCGCAGATAAGCCCAAGAGAGATAAATGTGGCGGAAAGACCGGGCTGGATGCGTGGGCCCTACGAGACCCAAAATCTCCGGCATTTCGAACCATCACTTCTCTCTCTTTGGCTGTCTGTGTAGCGGCTCGGTAGAGACCCGGGGCGGGGATCCAAAATCTTTCAGAATCTATTAGATTGGCCGGTTTTGGTCACGTGCCGTCTTATATATTGATTATTCATCGGGCTACACGCGCGATCTTATAGGATCCGCCCGATTCATCTCTCTTTGGTTGTCAATGCAGCTGATCGTAGCAGCGCACAGATCCGAGACGGAGAACTAAAATCTTTTAGAATTGAGAAATTGGCGATGGATTTATGCGCTCTTCGGAGTTGCGGAAATAGTTCAAGAGAGATGAATGAGGCGGAAAGACCGGGCTGCACCGGGAGGCCGCGCGAGACCAAAAATCTCCTAAGATTTCGAATTATTTCTTTCTCTTTGGCTGTTTGCGCGAGATTTTTATATACAAGCTTATATGATATTTATTCATCGGATCTCTCGTTATAAGAATTATTAAGTATCATATTTTAGTTGTTGGGTGCAATGATTGAATTTTTTAATTGCCTGAAGAAAATTAAAAGAATAATTTTTCTATTATAAAATGATTTTTCGAATCTTTATTTGATTTTAGATGATATATTTCATATTCTGAAATTTGCTTCAAAAATATGGTTTGGAAGATATGATTATAATTTTCTCGTAGATGGAGGAAATGTATTCTTCAGAAATTTCATCGAAGAAAAAATTTTGAATTTATAAATGAAGATAATATAAGTTCGTATTTATAATTTCTTCTAGGCGTAAAAATAATTGTAAGTCTTTTGATTTGAGGAATGAAAATATCTGTAGGAGAGATAAATAAATTCTTATTTAAAGATTTCTCATTAATTTTTATGAGAACAGGAATTATTTTAATTAATATGATAAATTGGAATTGGTTTATTATTTTAAGCATCGGAAAATAGAAATTGCAGAAATTTTATGACGAGAAATTTATTGAACAAGCTATATAAAGAATTATATGCAAAATCCGAGAAGCTGCTTAATTCTTTTTAAATAATTTATTGAAAGTTATTCGAATGCTTCTTTATTTCCGACTTCTATCTTATTAGTTTCAGATCTATAGATGATTTATTTATTCTTCAATATTCTCTTAAAACACAATAATATCTTTCTAGTTTTATTCAAAATGAATAAGCTCTTGATATTTATTCATTTATAAAGTAAATATCTTAAAGATAATATTGCCAATATTCGAATTGCTGATTGATCTCATACGATCTAATAATCGTGATTTTCAAATTATTCCGGATATAATATTGAAGATATAATAATACGATAGAAAGATCTCGAATGAAAATAAATAATAATAATGAATTATCATTCTAAGACCGCACGGTATATATAGATTCTGAAAGATTTTAGATTTCCGCCCCGGCTTTTCACGTTCCGACGAGTTGGCGCGTAAATAGCCATAGATAGAGAAATAATTCGAAAATTTAGGAGAATTTTGGTCCCACGATCTATGCAGCGGGCGGTCTGCCGCCTCATTTATCTCTCTCAGATTATTTGCGCGGTCTGTCGGAGGAATGCATAAATCTCTAAGAATAGATATTATTAATTTATAAATTTTGAAAGATTTTGATTCTCTATCTCCGATCTACGCGCTCTTCTGAGTCGCCTCGCCGACAATCAAAAAGAGATAAATTATACCGAAAATTCAAGATCGTATGAGAATCAAGATGAGCAATCAATATATAAGATCCCTCGTGATCAAAAACGACCAATCTAATATATTCTGAAAGATTTTGGATCTCTATTCCAGATCTGCAAAATAGCCGAAGAGAGAGAAATAACTCGAAAATTTAGGAGAATTTTGGTCCCACGATCTATGCAGCGGGCGGCCGCCCGACTCATTTATCTCTCTTGGATTATCTGCGCGGCGGCTCGAGGGAATCTATGAATTCTCGTAGATAGATCTATATAATCTATGAATTCCAAAAGATTTTGAATCTCTATCCCGGGTCTCGGGGAGTCGCGCGGACAATCAAAGAGAGATAAATCACGTAGAAAATCGTTCCGGAGGCAAGGATCGCGCGATCGAAAATCTATGAGATTTATCGTCGTCATATCTATATCAAAAATCTCGACGAATTTAGAATCTCTAGTTTTTCTGAAGGATCCTAAATTCTCCGAGATTTTAAAATTCCGAGGGAGCCCCCAAGAATAATTTAAAGAGGAGCTGGAAAATCTAGGCAACGCACGAGCCAAATGCCTCCAAGGGATCACGTAATATTGGGAAATTCAATATTTTATTAAGATATCTTCAGAAATTCTACGTTATTAGAAAATCTTCTCTTAATATTCCTAATAGAACCTATATTATTTGATAAGCGTCATTATCACTAAAAATAATAGAAATATATTAGTAAAAAATCTAAATCTTCAAAATTCATTCAACTTTCAAATTATAATAAATAATCTAATCAATTCATATGAAATTCTATCTATAAATTCTTATAAATATTTCGGTCGTTTAAGGATATCGGGAAAAAATATTTCGAGACGAGACCTGAAGCGAATAGATGATTGGAGATAGAGTATCCCAATTTCTCATTATTTCTTCATTTCGTTTGAGGGTCTGTTGTTGCGTTGAGGTTTTTCCTTCTTTCGGCGTCTTCCTTCTCGTCTAGTTCGTGGCGTATGGCGGCGGGGATTTCACGATTAGAATGCGGACGTCGAATTTTTTTACGGATTCTTTTTCTCTCAAATGAGTATGAAGATATTTAATTAGATTTCTTAGAAATCTTGAATAGCGAGATTTCTTCTTTTTCATTTTAAGCGAGGATATTTGCCGCGACCGAATTTAAGATGATAGAGATAAAAGAATGAAAATATTTAATATTCTTTTTACAAAGGAATTAAAAGAGCTTACTTATTATATATAAATTATACTCTAGCTATCATTTCTGAATTGCAAGAGAATATCTTCTTATATTACGACTATTTAATAATTACCAAAAAGAATTCGAACTATAAATCTAAATGAATTTAAAACGATAAATACGTAGATAATTACTAAATCTGGGAATATATGAAAATATGTTTGAAATAAAATTCGTTATTGAGAAATTCAAGATTGAAATTCGAAGAATATAATGATTTTCTTAAAATCTTTATTATATTGCCGTCGAAATCTCATTAATGAAAAAAATTATGAGACTTAAATTTTAGATATATATTCTTAGGATAGTTAATATCGATTATTTGGTAATAGGAATTCAATTAAGATTCTATCTTCTAAACATATCAAAGAAGTTGAATGACTATATATAGAGATTTATTCTATTTTTCTTGATAAATTTTTCTTGATAATTTATGAAGTATAATTGAATATTTGGTTATCTTAATAATCAGCTTGACCTAATAAATCTCTACTATATAATTATTCTATATAAATTTGAAAAATTTTCGTAAAAATATTTTTTAAATATCCCAAAGGATTCTGGATAAATAAAATTAATCAATAAAGCAATTTAGCAAATATATAAATCATTTGATTTATCATTTATTCAAAAAAGACCTATTCATTAATCATCTAGCCAATTATCTATCAATTTTCAACCTTTGTTGGGATAGCGCTAGTGCAGCAATTATAGTATCTGATTCTTATGGTCTGAATTTAAGAACGTATCGAATGGAAATTTGAGCAAGCATCTCGATGTTGGCACCACTTAGAAATGCGCAGCACAAATTTCAAGGCATCCAGAAGAGGCAGCTCCCCCCATTCAGTATTCAATTGGCCTGAAACGAACATCTCATGCCACGAATTCGTCCAAGTTTAGATAATTTGATTGTGATTAGCCTGTACAATCGGCTGAAGCCTCCACGGCCCCATGCTGTCAAAATGATAACCGGTTCGTTTCCCTATCAGGGTTATATTGGGGTTATATTAGGATAATGGAAAAGAACATGGAAATTGCCATAATCTATTGGGGTGGTTGGATTATAGAGGGAATATGGCTTTGGGTATATAGTGCTCGGAGATGTTCCATGCTTTTTTACTGGGTCCTGGCAGGGATTGGCCAAGGGTTTGTTCCATTAAGGACGTCTCTGTTCAGCAGGTTGGCTCCATCAAACAGGTGTCAAATGGGATTGATCCAAAGTATGCTCTGTTTTTGGGTCCCGGAAGGTCTTGAGCAATCACGCCGCGAAAGCCGCTTCTGCGCTCTGCGACTGCCAACTCCGCGGGCTAAAGGCCAAGACAAAATTCTTGCATGCTCCTAAAACAAATACAGCGCAATAAAGATTTCGCCCAGTAGAGATAAACTTGCTACCTTCCGACTCCCAAAGACGCCTCGCTTGCTTTGATTTTTCCAAGCCAGTTACAGCTCTGCCGCCTCAGTCGGAAGTGAGGGTGTAGTCGGCGCTCTTTCCTGGGCTCTTGCGGAGAAGCGCCGGGCGCTCAAAGGAAATGGGCCAAATAAACACTAGATTTTGTAGGATTCCATGGGGCCTGCGTGCAGTTGATATGCGGGGTCTGCATTTTAGACCCTCGCGAAAAACTGGTTAGAGCTTCAGGGTTTGGGCCGTTACAGTGGGTTCGGAAAGTTACAGGTCTCTGTAGGGTCTCTGTGACAGTCCTCATGTGTCCGGGTCACTATAGAGATCAGGACCTGCCTCAAAAGCTTCACCACCTGAGTCGCCTCAAAACGGTGTTGAAGACCTCCCAGTCTCTTCGAAGAAGGATGCTCCGGCGAGAGCTTGAAGCCTACCTGACAGTAGCTGTTTCTCAGCATTATGGTAAGCTGGAGGGTCTCGCACTTGAGCGATAGCCAAGTAAGGTCCCGGCAGATAATGCTCCCTGTCTCGCAGTACGCGAGCTCTGCCAGCTGGTTCCTCTCTTTGGAGCCTGGCAAATCTTGTGAGTCCACAACTGCTCAGAGCAGGATGGTAAGAAACATAGCGGGATCTTAAAGCCTGGGTCTCCTAGTAGAGATATAGATGCAGCGGGCAAAGATATCCAAAGCGAGGGTTCATTGGGCCCATTCTTCTAGCCATGCACAACTGATTCAAAAAGTTGTTGGGCAACGCCAGTTTAAGCTAGGCATTTTCTGGGAACCATAGAACTTGAGGAATTTGCAACGCATGTGCCACGTCGCCATGTCTGTCCTTCCCTTGCTGTTCAGCAGTGCGCAACAAATCTGGGAGCCAAATGAAAGAATTTACTTTTTCAGGGTTCCCATGTAGACCCCATCGGTACACAGTAACATTTTCACCGCAAAATAAAATGCCCCCCGAATGCGCCCGAAGCTTCCATGGTCCAGCGGTCCAGCAAAGAAGAATGAGAAACCAAGGACGCGTCGAACTGTGACAACGGTATCACTTCCGGCATCCAGTAAGTTGGAACCCAACCGTAATGCACTTTAATTTCGTAGACATACCGCCTACAGTTCACCTTCATTACGCGTCATGGCCCTTCACAGTACAACAGGATCCTCTTCCCACCATCAGGGGCAATAGCAGGTCAGGAATGTGGTCTCAGTAACCGCAACTCCCCCCCAATAATGAAACCCCGCAATCCGACCCCCAGTATGATACCAGTATGCACGGGTGGAGATTTAGCACGTCCATTATTGATCCTGCCTGCTTGTATTCCTAGTTTCCGTGTGATTTACCATGATCTTTTTTTTGATGCTCCATTATTGGAGGTATTCTCCCTAAGCCCGGCACAGTGGAGTGGAATATGGGCCCCTGTATCTCACTAAACAAACCCCTTCTTACCTATGGCAAGATGTAAATATATATACACACATTCATATATATGTATATATGCATATATATATATATATAGATCTCTCTCTCTCTCTCACTCTCTCTCTCTCCCCCTAAACATTCTAACCATACACCTGATCAAGCCCCTGGACCACTAAGCCAACGGCTAACCGAGGGTTTTTGGGTTTGGAAGCTCATTTAAACAATTCTATGGGGCACTACTGTAGGGGTATAAAGGGGGGATACTAGGAGTTTAGGGTGCAGGGGCTTAGGCTTCAGGATGCAGGTTCTACATCAAATACCCTACAAACCCCAATTGTCCCCCTGAAGTGAATAGAAAATGGAATTCCCCAAATTCATAATAAAAATCCCCATATACCCCGTATTGTATCTACTCGAGGGGGAATATGTATTCATTTGATCTTCGATCTTTCCAATTGTTTAGGCACAGGGCGCAGCTTGATGCCACGGATTCGCTCCAGGTCAATCCTTGCGCTGCTCCTGAGCTTATGGGCTTAGATTGAGGGACTTGGCATCTCAAATTTGGGACCTTGGGGGATATGTTGGGAGTATGAGGTGGTAAGCGGGTGCCCCTTAACGGTTTTGTATTACAGGATCTAAAAAGAAGCATGAAACCTCACCATAGGCCGTCATGGCAGCTCCCCCTGAAGTTACTTTAGGCAATAGAGCTAGCCCGACGATCTGAAGCGGGCAGCCTGTACCATGCCGTTTAGGGTGTAGGCTTTTTGATTAGCTAGAGCTGGTGGCTAGCAGGGCTTCTTACATCATTCTACTTACTGTCACCCCACCCTCACTGAATCCCTTACAATTTATGCCCACTCTTCTTGTTTAACTTCCAACCCACAACTTACAGAAATGACCACCGTTCTTCAGCCTGGCATTTCCATATGCACACATGAAAGATTCCAGAGCTGCTAACAGGTCCGCCGCAGAGCCGCCAAAGGGTCAGAGGGCCTCCAAAAAACATCCAAAAGCTTCCAAAAAAGCTCTCAGAGGGCCTCTCTTGAAGGCCCCGAACCATAAATCCTAAATCCTGACCCCTTAAATCCTAGACCCTAAAAGCCAAATCCTATCAACCCAAATGGGCACATGCCCCCCTTAAGGTTTATACATATATATATATGTATATATATATGTATATGGGTGGAGAGGGCCCTAGCCCTCACAGTAGCTGTCCTTCAAAAGGGTCTCATTAAGGGGCTACCATTGAAACCATTACCCAGTGTTACTTTAAGCCTGCACCCCAAAACGTGTAAGCAAAAATCTGTGAGCAGCTAATATAACGAAGGGGCCCACTGCAGTAGAAGGGCTTCAGCACCTGAACCCTAAACCCAAAAACGTAAGCCCCAAAACCCTAGGCCCTAAACCCAAACCCCCAACCCTAAAACCCTGAGCCACAAACCCAAAGCCGTAGGGTTCAAGCAAAAAATCAAGACATCCAGGGCTCTGCGTGATGAGGAAGTCCACCTCAGAGATGTTGCATTTCCAAACATTCGGGGTCCCTTTTGGAGATCCTTCTCCTGAGGATTCTAGATTGGGCCTGTAACAGTCTATATTGGTCATATTGAGGGCTATATACAACTATATTGTAAATATCATCCAACTGCTACAGAGTAGGGGCAGTACCAAAATTATAGATGTTAGGGGAGGGGGGGGGCGTATCAGGGACCCATTATGGTACATACCTAAATGAGATTTTGCAACGCTGAAAGGGTGGTAAGGGGCTCGGGGCTAAATGAGGGTTTCTACCTTTCAGGTCCTGAAAAGTCTGTGGATTCAGGTGTCTACGCACCATTGGTCCCTCGGACGCTGCTTAATCAACTGAATTCTGCACACACTCAACTTCCTTCTGAGAGACTCCTAACCATAAATTGGATATGCAAGAAAACTCGGGTAGCGGCTTCCAGTAAGGAAACGTCCTTGAGTGATTTTGTGCGGAAAAATGCTCTCGACGCCAGGCTTCGTAAACAGGTGGCCCAAAACCCTTTGCTCAAGATTGGGGTGGCTTAGAACCCAAGATAATTCCCTTCACAGGGCCTGCAAGAAGGAATGCAGAATTTGGGGAACCTAAATGATTTGCCTGTTGTGGATGCATGGTTAAGGCTGTTGTTGGGATTGTCTTGACTCCAGTTGCCGAATTCTAGATTGTTGCGTGCTCCGGCAGCTTGACTCCACTGCGAGCCATGGAAGCTCTCAATGCAAAGGGGCACTGACAGTCTGACAGAAACTGAAGCCCATAACTCTAAACACACAAATGCAAAACGAAACAGAAACAGAAACACAAACAAAAAAACACGGCTGCTGCTGCGTTGCGATCCGGGTCGTATTCCTTGGTTTTCGAAGAAAGACAAGTGATGCTCCGCGCCCGTTTGAGAATGCAAGCCACAACAAAAACCAGGGGCTGAGCAGCTTGTTTGCTGAAACTAGATGGATAAAGCTGTGGACAGGAGATATGGCGTCCCTCGGATGCTTTCTTTTTTGTGGAAATCCTGGCTGTCCTGATGAAAATCTGTTCTGATTTGGGTCCTGGCTCCAGCCCTTGGAAACCGCAATGGAGTTCACCGTCTGTACGGAGTCAACCATGTGGATCCCTTGGTCGTGAAGCAGCCGATTCTCAGGCTCCAAAACGCACTATGGCGATTGCTATTTCCATTGCGATTAAAACTACGAGTACTACTACTATGATTGATCACTACTACTGATATTATGTCTTATAGGAATTAGCTTATCAGACTACACACCAGAACATGGAGATGTCCCAGATGTCATCCTACAAGAAGTGCAGGCATAGCAATAAACAGATGTTGAATGAACAATGCTCTCTGCCATGCCAGCACTGCCAAAACAATAGACCATTTGAAACAGGGAACCTAAAAGGCAGGCCAAACTTTGAGAGTGGTCTCAACATAGGACCATATCATCATGAATCTCCTGTAGGCCTAGATAAGGAGGTGTCAATTTTCCAGACGTGCTGGTGAGCAACATGCCAGTTCAATCGGCTTTGGGAGCAGGGATTCACAGGTGGAGCCGTTGGGGTGATTTTCCCTTCTTGTGATTTTGGGCTTGAACTGTTTACTCTCTCAACACTCAAACCCAACGATGGAGACCTGCAGGTGCCCGCAACTGAGATTTTACAGTTCCCTACTGACGTCCCCCAGTTTCCGTTCAGCTTTAATTGTGCTTTTCCATTTGGTATATAATGTCTATTCCGTGTTACAACCCCGAACCCTTTTTCCATATATGAAATTATATATACATAATTACATCTATATATATACACATAAATATCGTCGCCATTATGGAAGGCAACGGTGGTTGCGACCAGTGCTGGGTTCACAAAGCCCCCTCCGCGCGGTATTGTGTACATGAGGGGCTCCATGTTCGCCTGAAGCCACATGGAAGTCACCTCTGCTCCGCACCTGCTGCATGCTGGCGCATCTCCCCTTTAGAATTTCTGAAGCTCCACAGCTACAAGCCCCAAAACGGACTTCCCCCAACAAGACTGCGGGACGTCCGCCAAGCAACACTACGCATGGGTTTTGTTTGCAGCTCAAGGTGCCAAAGCGCGATCCTGTCTTGGTAATGTCACTCCCATCAGCGGCTACCAGCGAGTTGAACCTCAGGATCACAGGATCGCAGTACTCCGGAGGCCGGAGACCTCTACAAGGGCATTCTGATAATGAGATGCTCTATAACCCCTAGATCGCCCCTGTATAACCCTTATATAACCCCTATGTAACCCCCATATAACCCCAACGAACAGCACAGCTTCATGTGAGCCAGCTTTGAACTTCTAAAAGCAGGACCGAGGAGGAATTTTGCCGACGCTCACGTTGCCGTGTCAGATATATAACAATAATCGTCGTAGTAGTAGTAGTAGTAGGAGGAGGAAGAGGAAGAATATAGTACTGTAGTTTCCATTTCATTTTCCATTATCCCCAATATTACTCAATATATACCCTACTATAGTATAGTAGTTTCCATTTTCTTTTCCATTATCCCCAATATATACCAAAAAAATATTTTCGGGGGGTTCAAGGTCGAGGTGCAGCCCTAGCAGTCAGTTGTCTTGGGGATTGATCCGGATCGTCAACCTGACAAAACCATTTCCTGATATTTTAGGGATTTTAAGGGTTCTCTAGGGGTTATATAGGGATTTTATAGCTGCATGGTAGTTTCCCAAAATAGTGGGCTCCGCTATAGACCCTAAAATACAATGATCCTTCTTATAGGGACTCCCTAAAACAAGGTACCCCGTCTTTTGGGAAACCCCCATACAGGGAGATTTCAGCACAGGGGGGCCCTTAGAGACCTGGGGGGCATTTGGAGATGCTCATGGGATCCCGAGAATCGAAGCCTAGGAGGGATGATGCAATGAAATTTCTAAAAAAACTCCCATATGCCACGCATCTCTCCAAAATCTGGGCGTGACTTGTCAAAGGAGCGCTTGACACGAAAGGAATGTGTCTACGCGGCCACGCGCTAAAAGCATAGCTTTCTTGGGCTGGGAGTTCGAATCCAAACCCAACTTCCACTTCAAGGTATTCACTCAGATTGACACGGAGTGATGGAGAAATCCGGTCGATTATCAAAGTCATGTGCTGAAGTGGACATCGCCTGATGATCATGCTGCGTGGCTTGATTCTCCCTCAATGAAATGCCGTGTGGCAGGACTAGACTAACTATCTCGCGCATTGTCATCAAAGACTCATCAAAGGCATCGTGAACATAACCTTCCTTGGGACCCATGGTTTTTCAATAGGGCCGGTGCAACAAGAGCAAAAAAGGCTCAGACAACAAGGTGTTGGATAGTAGCTGGAAGAGTCTGAGGCTCAAAGGTAACTGGTTGGGCTTCGGAGTGTGGACGTTTTGAAGTACAGCATCTGCGCAGCTACAGCCCATGTGTAGAAACCCAACACAACACACCTTCATGCGTAAGGTCTGGAAACTTGGGACAGCCTCTCAGGCCATATCTAGCTTTCACCAAGCCGCGCCACACAAATACGATAATACCACATCCAATAGTGCTCGCCACACGGGTGAAGGTAGAAATTCGTGTATCCAACCTTGACTTCACACAAAGAAAAGAGTAGCATTTACATATTCTGTGTATGAAATACTATACCCACAAGGAGGATATAATCTTACTGGGTATTGGGCCCGTAGTATCTCCACATAAAATACTACTCAAATGAATTGCTTGTGAAGGCTGCGGAGATGATAATGTTAACCTATACAAGGGGTGGCAGTAATGGAGTTCCTTTGGCCAGATAAAAAAGATCCCAAAGTACTGGGATGTCATGCTTTCTCAGAAGCGTGGCAATATCAAATCGGTGAAAAGACGAAAATGGCGGGTACAAAGTTCGAGAGCTCGCAAGTGAAATCAAATTAAAACACTCCCTCTCTCCTCTTTCTACTCCTCCTACACCTGCTACTACAAGGACGACCGACCACCTAGAAAGAGCTCAGGCCCCAGAGTTCTTTGTTGCAGCACCTCTTTTGCCAAAGCTTTGATTCGTTTTGAAGATGGGGCCGCAGTACAACCGAGGAGGATTGCGAAAGCAACGTCAACACTAGGCTGTTTTGAAACCAGATCTGCATCAAAGCAAGCAGCACTGTCAACCCAGCATGCCCCGCATCAAAAAAACCTGCAATTGAACCCACTTCATGCGATTCTGGCAACGAAAAGGTTCACGGCATCAACAGCCCGATGCAGTACCCAATGGGCAGCCTGGTGAAAGGGCGACTCGTCGCGCCAGTGGCACTCAGTCATGTGGCCATTCAGGGGTTCGATGCCGCGTGTCTTCAGTTCTGTGAGGTAGTTGTCGTACGGCTGCCTTAGCTGGGTTTTGGCCTCGCAGCTCAGCCAGAACCGCATCGGTAGTCATATTAGGGATTCAATGTTCGGGAGTGCCCCCGTTGCATGCTCTTGTCAAAGGAAGCAAAGGGCAAGTGGGATGAGCAATCGCCATGTGCGACCACCTCAGATGGAGCACTCCTTTTCTACGGAGGTGAAATGTTCCCTGCGGGGGCCAAGTCCCTAATCAGAGCACTATGGATTGTAGCATATCGCTAGCAAGGTGTTCACTATTGTTCATTTCATGAGCTACGGTGTCAGAGGCATGACCGGCTGTCCAAGATGCCACCCAGACAGCATTTATCTCTATCCTAAATCACACCAAGTTTTCCTCTTCACTTTGCTGTGCGCCATGAAGCTCAAAGAGGGTCCATTTACTATGACAGTACAGTGGAGACTGCAGAGGTGCTACTTCAGGATTGTATACGGATTATGTCGAGGTACTGACCTATGGGACTTCATCAAACTTGGCCATTTATTCCACAGAAAATTCCTTGTTGCAAGAACTTAGAGGGATCCGGCGATCATGAGAAACCACCAAACCGTTAAGCCCTAAGCCAGGTCCCCCCAAACAAAAGACTACTCAAGTCAAGAATCTCCGACATTGTGCCAATGCGGCGCATCTCATCTCGCCAGCTCTTCATGAAATCGTCCTGCGTCCAACTTGCAGTGACCATTTCAGGAGCAAAAAGGATTTCACGCTACTCTATAGGGCTAACACATATGTAGGGGCTCATGGCGATCCAGGTTGACATAGGAGCTTCAGACATTGAAGGCACCTTTGTTTACAAACCCGCGCGTAAAGCTGCAATATCCTGCAATGAAGCCTGTAGAGACAGCTTGGTGCGGCCTTGTACAAAACAGGAGAAACTACTACAGACTTACGAAAGATCACTGTCGGGGGGTTTGGTAGTCCTGAGGCTTGGCAGCGACGAAGTAGCCTTCGAGAAGTGCCGCCTGCAGGCGAATCCCAAGAATAACTCGAGTGACCCTAAAAAGGAAAATTGATACATGAAAATGGAGAAAACTGCACACAGCCTCGCGCTCTCTGCAAATCTAACTACCTACTTTGGGAGAACTACTGCGTTTTCGCTGACACGCTGGGACGCATCTGCTTGAGAAAGACCCTTGAGCATTCTTCAGCGTTCCGGCCAGCCTTATGGGATTTCCTACGAGCTCCGCGCAAAATTGTCTTGCTTCCATCCGGGCATTCTTGAAGCAGGGCGATTTCAAACCCTACGGACCTTATCATATGACTACAATAGGATCGAAATTTTTGGGGTTAGGGTCAGTAAAGCCACGCTACTTTTTTTCCTTTGCCATACTGCGAACTGACCGTCTGTCAATGCATTACGCAGCGTCGGCGCAGCAAAACAAGAGGCTTACCCTAGGGGACGTTTTAAACATGCTTCAACATACCGGCGCTGTAAATAAAATTATATTGGACCAGAGTCTCTTCATAGTTCAAGTTTAGATGGCAAAACGTCTTTTCGTAAGCAAACTTCTTTACATGGTATATCTAATTTCGCTGGGGTTTCCCCACTCGCTACTTTCCATACTTTATTCTGGACGCGCTATGTGGTAGGAATGACACTTGTCTTGATAGATTGTCATCCGAGCTCCGCAGGATACCTAGCAATTTAACATGGCTGGCATCATGAAATTCGCCAAACAGCAAGATTTTCCTGTTGTCCCCTGGGCTTGGAAAGGCAATGGCTGTCGCCTCTTCAAGAAGCTTTCGGTTGGTATTTGCACGATCAATGATGGTGGGAGCTTTGTTTAAGATCTTTCGGATACCTCATCTAAAAAGCGTTTAGTTTCTTGGCTATAGCCGCAGTTAAGTGTGTAGATTTCCAATCCATATAAGAGCTTGCTTTGAACAATGTCATCATATACACTTGGCTTCCACCTCCTGCAGGCATTTGTTGCTTTCCAATACGGATGGAGCTTCAACCAGGTACGCCGCGCTTCTTTCAATTTATTGACGACCTCATTTTAAAGGTTAACTTCCCTGTTGATGTCGCTGCCGGGTAAGTAGGCTGAAGCTCTGTAGTTAAAGGGGTACCATCTTCGAAATGGATACTTCCTTCGTTGTTCATAGGAATAGCGACGCATTTAGCTCTGTTAAAAGAAGGAAGTTCATGCAGCCTTGACCGCTCTGAGAAAACAAAAGGTATCATCCGCATAATAAATCATGTTAAAATCAAGACCAGGCACTCTGTGATTAGAGACACGTCCAGTTATTGAAGGTTGCATGTCTCGGTCAATAAATGTAATCATGAGGGTAAACAAAAGAGGGCTCAATGGGCATCCTTGTCTTATTCCACTTCTCTGCTGTTTAGGCCTAGAAGTGCCGAAATCTCCTTGATGTAGAAGGTTGGCTTTTGATAACAGTTCTGAATGACATCTAAGCAATGCGGGCTAAAGCCTAATCTGTGCAAAGCAAGTAATAGCTTAGCGTGTTGCACTTTATCAAAAAGCTTTTCCCAATCTAACAGCGCAATGCTCAGTTTAGCAGCTTTCGCCTCTGCATAAGCTTGAATATGACTGATCATGTAAATCGCGGGAGACGTAGACCTATTGGATCGACAGCCGTACTGAGTTTTGGCTATAAATATATATATATAAGTGTCATATAAGTGTCGTTCAACTGGTTCCTGCATTCTGGACCTGATCATCATCATGTACAGCTTGTACATGCTATTAAGCAAAGGAACGGGGCTATAATTAGAAGCTACATCGGTATCACCCTTCTTGAAAATGGGAGCGACTTGTGCTAGGAACAAATCTTTTGGGGCCGATTTCTGTGTCCACCAAGAACTGATCGTAAGAGGAACAAAATTCTTGTTATCTGCATCGAGCCACTTCCATAGCTCAGATATCATTCTGTCAGGTCCTGGCTGTTTGTTACATTTCATTCTTTTTGAAAGCGGCATTCAGTTCTTGAATGCTGAAAAATGATTCAGCAGCACTATTTTTTCCACAACTTGTGTTTTTGCATGGCTGTCCCTCAGAGTCATGTTTTCCAATATTTGTTTTCCAAATCTGCAACTTTTCCTGCCGGAAAAATGAGCGGCACGTGCTTCTTCATTTCTTCGTGTTCACATATTTGGGAGTAATTTGTTCTTCAAAATTCTCACTGCTTTCCACAATCCTTTCTGATGGGCATCGTTTGGGTTTTCGTTGAACTTCTTGACTAAGGAAGTTTGTTTATCTCGGTTGGCAGATCTAGCTGTATCCTTGTTCAAGTGTTTCACTTCCGCATTCCTCATTCCATGTATTCTACGTTGGTTTCTTTTTTCAGTTTTTGCCCATGTTCCTTTGCTAAGATACGATTTGTTCTTTTGCGGTGGATTTTTCCAAACTGGAGTATCTGCTTCTTGTCTAACGGCCTTCGGAAATGTTTCCCATGAAAGTGGCTCATTGCTAATCAACTGCCTGGCTTGCACGTTGTAATTTGTCCACCTTTCCAATATAGTAGGTTTGTCAAACCTCCTTGTGTATTCCGCTGCTGGAACTGTATGGGTCAAGCTCTTGATGGTGATACGACTTTCCAAAACAAAATGGTCTCAATCAAGATGGATATCTATACTGCTTTGCGTCTTGAACATTATTTTTTCCATGAATCGCCAGCTAGCCAAAAAACTATCTGTTTCAAGTCGCTGTGTCTCGTATGGAGTGCCGATATCCTGACTATCTTCGCTAGCTGAACATTTTCCCTATATGCTATCAGGTTGTCTGGTGGTTTCAGAAATTGAGGTGTACATAATTGACATTCAGCGCATGCATTTTGCACGGCAAGTGCCCTGTTCTCTTTGGTGCTTTCGCTCGTTCCTTCCAAATACACCATGCCCCTTCCCAAATGCGGGTTGCGCGAACTTCTTTAGCCGTGTTACAAACGCGCATTAAAATCATCCCCGATGTAGTATGTACCTCTCGTAAATGGCTTCGATGTCATATGCACTATGCGGTGCGTGTGCAAAAAGTGAAACATCAGAGCCGGAAGTTGCAAACGTTGCTTTGATGATTCTGCTGCCTGCTGTCTTCATAGTCTTCAAAGAACACACCAATGTTCTTCTAATTACAACCGCAACTCCTGCATTCTCAAAATCTGGAGCACGACGGGGCACAAGTAGCGTCATGCTTTCCCCTTGCCCTGGAAGTTTTTTATCTTCCTTCTTGTTCATCCCTGTCTCCCCTATTTTGGGGTCTATGCTGGAGCAAAATATGCACAAACATGTTCGTTCTAATCTTCCCAGTTGCTTCTGTTTACATTCGTTTCACTTACTAGCATGATATCATATTGGTTTCGTCTCATGATGCCTGTGATAAGCTCACATTTGGTTTTCGTGTTTCAGCCTCTCACATTTAAGCACGGAGCCTATTATATGACGGTGTGGCAGTTGTTGAACCGTCTGCCTTCCATTCATTGTGCCTTTGCTCATTTTCTTACCATAAGATTAACAGAATTCACGAAATTCCTCTTTCAGTTTGGGTTGATTCTTTTGAAGCCAAATTTTACTGTTGATTCAGAGTTTCTCGCGTGGCTTTGTTGTCGAAACTTTTCGTTTCGACAACTTGGAACTTCTGAGGTGCTCCTGTGCTGCCTTGTTGGCGTAATATAATATAAGTCCAGATATGACGCCTCATTCAATCTTATGTTCCGTTTTCCATTTGATTCTCCTTTGTTGGTACTATCCCTAAATCCTATATAATCCTATGTAAGCCCTATATAACCCCTAAGCCCTGAACCCTACACCATTGTATTAGCCCGAACTCCAATGGGTCAGGTGACCTCCAGATGGAGCCCGCTGATTTGGGCAGTCTGATTGATAAGCAAATGCAGAGGAGCAGTCCTGGACACAAAGGCACATGTAATCCCACTGTGGCCGTTTCCATGTTCTTTTCCATTATCCCTATATAACCCTAAAACATATACCCTATTATACTATAGTAGTTTCCATTTTCTTTTCCATTCTTCCTATATAACCCCAATATAACCCTTATAATTCCCCAACTAAATCCTTTTTTGTTGGCAAGGTCAGGTTCAGGGATAGGGTTTGGCGCTTAGGGTTTTGGGTTTAGGTAGTTTCCCAAGAAAGGGACCCCAAAATGGACCCCCAGAATACTGTAATCCTTATTATGGGGCGCCAGAAAAGCACTCCTGATTTTGGGCAAATCCCCACACATTGCTGCGTAAATCGGACTGCGTCCTGTGCATCATTTGGGACGTACAGTAGATTCTATTGTTCCTGTAGGGAATTGTGACCTTGCTGAGTCAAATCCATCTTTGCGCTCATTCAAATCCAGGCAGTCGAATATCGTAATGCATGTTCTCACCCTCATGAATGATCTAGATGCCTACAACACTCAAGTGCGGGTTTGAGGATTGAGTCAATGCGGGCCTCCAAGAAAGATCACGCCAAACACCCCAAAACATCATGGTCACATGTAAGAAGAACATACATTCAACCCACGATGCATCCAATCCGCCCTCAGGGAAACCGTGTTTGCCGTGGATATCTCAACATACTTGCCGTAAGGGCCGCTTAGTTTACGGGAGCCCACAACAACTTGCTTCTGCAGATAACCGTGCCACGACTTTCTCGAACTCTGAAGGAAGAAAACCCGCAAGATCTGCACATGAACACCAAAGAATCCGAAAGTTTCGGACATCCCAATAGTTGCGGTCATGGGTCAGCAACAAAGTTGCATCTATCCAAACACCACCTTGTGATGCGAGCAAGCTCAGTCCTCGGAGCACAGCATTTCGGGTGTGCTTTTACTGGCTTGCCTGGGAAACCCTATAATTTTATGCTACCCCCCCCTCAAAACCTACCTTTTCTTAGAAAATCATAGCCTGCGCACCAGATTTGAATGATTTTCTACCCTTTTTTCT